GAAACAGACTCATAGAAACGGAGAGCTGGGGGTTCCCAGAGGGGTGAGGGGGCACTGGGTGAAAGAGGTGAAGGGACTAAGAAGCACAAATGGGTAGTTAGAAAATAGTCACAGGGATGTAAGTACAGCATAGGCTACCTAGTCAGTAATATTGTGATAGCTACGTGTGGTGCTGGAAATACTAGTACTGAGGGGAACACTAGGTAAAGTATTAAGCTGTACACCTGAAACCAATACTGTACATTTTAAAAAAAGGCAGAGGGGGAGATGGCAGTCTGATTGACAGACGAAGGAGGGCCAGCTGCAGCCCACAATAGCCATCTGGCTTTATCTGGTGAACTTCAAAGAGCGGTATTGTCCCTTGCCCTTACTTATCGTCTGTAACTATTTGGAGAAGGTGTGTGTGGAAGGCAGGCCTACCAAGAGCAGACGGGCAGCCTTGCCTGTGCCTCTGCCAATGCCCTCAGCAGAGGAGAGGATTGGAGGCTTCGTTTTACTGCAATGATGAAAGGAGGCACCTAGCTGGTCCAACATGCGTCAATCCGGCTGTCCATTAAGATCAACTGGGAAGCATTTATAAAATTACAGATAATTAGACTTTACCCCAGACCAATTAACCAATCTCTGAACAGTTTGTTTTTGCTTGTTTTTGTTTGTTTTTACAGCTTTCCGGGTAAATCTGTGCTGTTAAGGTTAAGAAAACCTCGGTATTAAACTAATGAAGCTCCAAAAATTCGAAGTTGACCAAAATACAGCTTCTTGAACTGGACCATGGACAGGGGCCTGCTCTCACAGCACGCAGGCCGAGCATCCCTTCAGGGTGTGGCCCAGACCAGGTGCACTGCTGCCCGCCCAGGGCACTGACTTGGTTTGCTTATCATTTTCCCAGGAGACACCTGTCGTTTTCCCAGGGACCAGGAGCTAGACGGTGGCTCTTCAACCTAGAAGAGTCAGGCTTGGGAAGGAACGCTGTGGTCACAGTACTGACCGCCTCCCTGCAGGACAGGGCCCAGCATTGGCTGGCTCTGCTCAGCAGGGAAAGGGCTTGTGGGCACTCACACCAGGAGGCAGTCCTGGCCATGACAAGAAAACAAGGTGTTCTTCATGCTTGCTCTTCTTTTCCTTGTGAATCCCTTCCTACAAACTGCTGTCTCGTTGTTTTTACTACGAGGCTGGGCAGAGACTAGCAAAAAAATACGTCAAGCAAAAGGCCGGTATTAGCTGATAAGCTGCATTCAGTATTATCAGTAGCCATTAAGTTACATTTCTGAGAACGGGGGGGAAAGAAAATACTTTGCTAGGTGATTCAGGAATTTTTAAGAAATAGATTAGCGGTAAGACCTAAGACTGCCTCCCTTTCTCCGTAACGACCTTCCCCTGCCCAAAGCCAAAATTTCCCACAGACTGGTTCTCACAAGGAATGAGACCCAGATCTTTGGAAACCGATCCCAATGGTGCAACATGAACACATTCCCACCATCTCAAAGCCGCGTCAGTGCAGAAGTGTTGCGATGGTTTACTGGTTAGAATGGGAGGTCTATTTAGACATCAGCCAACCCTGGGATGATGTGATTCACCTGAACATTCTAACACGGGAGTCGGCAAACGTTTTCTGTAAAGAACCAGATAATAAATACTGTAGGATTGTGGACCATGGAGACCCCTGTCCCAACTACTCAACCTGCCCACTGTAGTCCAAAAGCAGCCCCAGACACTGTGTATGGGTCTGACTGTGTTCCAGTACAATTTGACCTGCAAAAAGACGCAAGCTGGGTTTGGCGGTTTGCTGACCCCTGTCCTACCAGAAACTCTATTTTACAAATCGACTTGCATTGGTGAACACAGCTTCCATAGAGTGACCTGGCACATAATGGTGACAAATAAAGAATAAAGAATGGCACGGTGAAAGACTGACATGGATTTAATGACACATATTCCATACCGGCTGCTTGAACACCAGAATGCTGTCCAGGGAGCCATCATTAAATAAAACCACTGGGGAAAATAAGGCAATTCTCACATACACAAGCACACACACAAAACCAGTTACTTTTAGGGTCATTAAATTATTCACTATTTGAACAATCAGCTGTAAAGTAACATCACAGTGAAGGGAGGGGCGCACAAACTTCAGAAGCTCAGTTCCGATGGTCTGTGAACACAGGTTCTTCATTTGCACTTTTTCACATACGGAGAGCCACACGGCTCAAGGGGTTCACCAGTCATCTCCTTCCAACTCGGAGCTCCCGATGGCAACAAGCCATTTCACCTGTTTAATCTGCACCGGATTCTGCTCAGCAAAGCGCAGCCTGCACTGGACCATACTCCCAGGAAGCAAATGATACACTTGCCTCCAGCTTCCGTAATGAGCTGGTAGACGGAGTCTTCCGATTAACATTTGTAAGGGTGAACCACAGGAAACAGGGTTTGCTTGAGAAACACTATTATTTTAAAAGTAAATCCAAGAAACCAACCCCTGAACGCATTTAATTTCACTCAATGCAGATATGTTCCCTGAAGAATTGTAAGAAAAATGGAATCACATTTGCGATGCACCGTCAGAGTGGGTGCTGATGGTCGGTCTGCTCGCGGAGGGGACCCGGGAGCAGTAGCCATGGGAACAGAAAGAACAAGAGAGGTCAATGAACCCCAAAGATTCCCACTGCCTCTAAATTACATTAACTTCCATCTCCTCTCCCCCTTGAAGCCTTTCTCAAAAGCTGCAAACAGGTAACGTAATTGACGCGGACCCGACTGTGCAAATGGCAGCAAAAGGCCAAGTAACCCATAAAGTGGAGAGTCAACCCATGAAGAAGCAAACGTTTGATGCGATTTCATAGGCACAGACTTGAGAGAACCTAAAACAGCCGGGAGAGGTAGATGTGCATGGAAAAAGGAACAAGATTACCTACAAATGGGCCGTATTATTTTCAGGTGAGTCTCATACACTTCATAGACCATACAATTCAGAATAAATAACGGACACTTGCTTTGCTCGTATTACTCTCAACTAAAAGAACATTTTAAAAGAACAATCCGTGTCTTTAAAACTGTATTTTGAAAATCTAGTTGCATTTGTGAATAACAACCCCTGATTAAGAGGGCAAGATCAACAAGCATCACACAAGCCCAGAATTCTCAGGATTCTTTTAAAAAGGTGTTTTTATAATGACATGAACATGCTTCCCTACAGCCCCCCAAGGAGGGTCTTTGCTAGAATACAACTAATCAAGTATAAATGACCGGCATCCCCAGAAAATTTGCTGAATTGTAAAAACAACCTTGTGGTTGTCTTCCCTTCACGTGTATCCAACAGTTTGTGAAGATGCTTCCGTGAAAAGTACAGGGTACCCATCACTAGTGAGAAAACCAGGCTGCTTCCCACCACTCTGACTTCTAGAGGCTAACCCAGGGGAGGGGCTCAGCCCAGGGAACTGAAATCTACACCAGAGTCATCTAACCACAGCCCCCCAGGACACGTAACGTGCCGAGGACACCCTACTGATGCGACAAAGACCAGCTTTGTCAGTGAGGACATCTGTGGCCCTTCCAGGCTAGCCTTCAGTGTCCCGTCACGCATACGCATGTTCAGTGTCCTTGTTTCGTTATATAAATCACTACGGTAAGTCTTCCTAGCAGCTGAGAGCACAAAAGGTCAGACCACAGCTGTCCACACTGTCACAGCCTCTCCTCAGAGCAGCCTTTGGCACTCTTGTCCCCAGGCCCTCCCCAAGACAGGGGCCATAACACTGATCCACCTCACAGAGATCTGAGGAGCAACTGACAATCATTAAGAAGCATAAAGCACTTTACAAATATAAAAGTGCTAGTTTGGCATTTGTAGAACCACCAGGAAACATTCACTGCTTGTGCTACTTGGCAGTTTTGCATTTACACCTCTCCCTGCTTGTGCCCTCCTTGTATAAAGCCTGGAGCTTTCTACTGTGCCTTTGTGTAAAAAAAAAAGTTTCTACTCAGACGGGAGCCCAGGTCAACAGGAGTGAAGGTGGGGGTTCCGTGAGCTCCCCCATCACTACAGGGGAGGGGGGTACAAAGCAAATGCAAATGAGACAAAGGAGCCTTGCACCCCAACATGTGAATTTTGCAAAGCTCTCGAGCGGGTTGACTTTTGTAGCAGGTCACGGGGCCACTGTGGATGGTCTGAGGTTCACTTGAAATAAGCACCCAGCTGACCCGGGAAAGGGAAAGGCGCCCAGAGCTGGGATGGTTCCATGTCCCTGCAGGTAGAAGGTCACGAGTGAGACCTGAAAGAAATACGGAGCCAGGCGCACACCTGGCCCTGGGGGCAGGGCCTGCTCACCACAGACCATCTTGGCCCAGCACGAAACCCGGACGTTTCAAAAGAAACGGCAAAGAACCAGATTCCCTAGATCTGAAAAGCAGTTATGAGTGAATGTCTGAGTTTCACCTTTGAAATGAGGGTGCGCAGCTTTTCTGCCCAGCTTCCCCCTGGATGCCCCGAAACAGCAGCTAACTGTGGCTCAGAGACAGGAGAGCGTCCGGTATATCCTCCCGCAGGATGGCAGGGTTCCTCTGCTTTTCCTGGGACTCGAGCTGATGGGGGCGGGGGGCAGGGCAAACGGTGGCTTCACACCTGGTACAACCAGGATAGAATTATTCACACCCACCTTTTCTTTTACCCCATGACCCTCACTCCAACCACAGGCTCTCCTGATTCCCACAGAACATCGCAGCCCAACCTACTCTTGGCCTGCCATCCTGTTCCTCCCCGACCCGAACCCCATTTCCTCAGGGTCCTCAAAGTGCCCGCTTAGCTCCTGAGTATTGGAGGGAGTCAGCATGCCCAAGCACATCTCCAAAACATTCCTTCGTTGTCCCCAAAACGTAGCACCAAAAGAACACCTCTTAACGCTCCCCTCAGGGGCCCCTAACACCAAAAGCGCCCCAGTCGTCACTCTCAGATTGTCCCTCCCGCCCTTCCCATGCCTTTCTGCAGGGCCTGCCCCCGGGATACTTACACCCCGCCAGCTCCCGCGAGCGCAGCCCCCTGCGCCCGGCCCTAGCACAGGTGCAGCTTCTGGTGCTGCGCCAGGTGCGTCTTGTAGCGGAAGCCCTTGCCGCAGCCCGCGCACTTGTGCGGCTTGTTGCCCGTGTGGATGCGGCGGTGGCGGATGAGGTGCGAGCTCTGGATGAAGCTCTTGCCGCACTCGATGCACGTGTAGGGCTTCTCGCCCGTGTGCGTGCGCTGGTGCTGCGTGAGCGTGGAGAAGTCGCTGAAGCGCTTCTCGCACTGGCCGCAGCGGAAGGGCTTCTCGCCCGTGTGCACGCGCAGGTGGTTGACCAGGTGCGAGTTGCGGCCGAAGCCCTTGCCGCACTCGCGGCACACGTAGGGCCGCTCGCCCGAGTGCGTGCGCTTGTGCGTGAAGAGGTGCGAGCTGACGCTGAAGGTCTCGCCGCACTCGGAGCACATGTAGGGCTTCTCGCCCGTGTGCACGCGCTGGTGCTTCACCAGGTCCGAGCGCCAGCTGAAGCGCTTGCCGCACTCGCCGCAGCCGTGCGGCTTCTCGCCCGTGTGGATGCGCTGGTGGTTGGCCAGGTGCGAGCGGCGCACGAAGCCCTTGCCGCACTCGCCGCACGAGAAGGGCCGCAGCGCCGCCGGCCCCGCGCCGCTGGCCGCCGCGTGCGCGCGCCGGTGGCTCAGCAGGTGCGAGCTGAGGCTGAAGGCCTCCCCGCACTCGGGGCACGGGTAGGGCTTCTCGCCCGTGTGCAGCCGCCGGTGCTTGAGCAGGTCGGCGCGCCAGCTGAAGCTCTTGCCGCAGTCCGCGCACAGGTTGGGCCGCTCGCCCGTGTGCAGGCGCAGGTGGTTGGTCAGGTAGGTGTTGCGGCTGAAGCCCTTGCCGCACTCCCCGCAGCGGAAGGGCTTCTCGCGCGGCGGCCGGGCCAAGGCGGGCCCCGGCCCGAAGCCCCCCGCCACGCCCACCACCGCGCCGCACTCCCCCGCCAGGCCGAAGGGCTCCAGGCGGGCCGCGGCCGCCGCCTCCGCCAGGCGGTGGATGCGCTGGTGCTGCAGGAAGGCGGCGCCCGGGCTGAAGCTCTCCCCGCAGTCGGGGCAGATGGTGGGCGCATCCATGATGCTGGCCATCAGGCTGTCCAGCTCCCCGAGGTCCACGGCCATGGGGTGGTGGAGCCGGCGGAAGCGGCGGGGGGCCGGCCTGTCGCCCGGGTGCCGACTCCCCAGGGCGAGGTGCCGCCGCCAGGGAAGCACCGGTGGGGGCGGCGGCTCCTCCTCTTCCCGGGGGCTCCGGGATGTGCTGTGGGACTCGGACAGTCCTGGGAACACGGCCACCGCAGCGACTCCAGACTGGCCATCCTCTTCCTCCCGCAGAACTTCTTCCTCACTCAGCAGCCCCTCTGCAAACAGAAAAGGGGACAGTGGAGGCGGGCGATTATACCTGGAGCTCAAAGAGTAAACCCACAGGAAGCCAAGGTCAAGAAAAGTGTGGGCCACGGAGTAATTAATTCTTCCCCCGGGTATTCACAAACTCACTCTCCAAGATCTCCAACCTCCTACCTGGAGCCTCCTGGGGAAGGAAGGCCTAGAGGAGAGTATGCTCTGAAAGAAACCTGGGGAAAGCTCACTCCCCTATCCCCTCAGCTCACCAGCTCTTGGCATCTGTCTCTGAGCCCAGGCCCCACCCACTGTCCCTGAGGCTCCATCCGAAGGCCACATGGACAGTCGGCTTGAGGTGGTCAGGTCTGGGCCAGGTGGGATGCTGTGGGAGCTCAGAAGAGATCTGCTCACTGTAAGAGCAACCCATGCGTTCCAAGGCCCTAACCGCACAAGGCAAGACCACTCCTGCCAACCACAAGAAAAAGCCACCTGGACTGATTTTTTTTAAATGTTTTTATTGACTTCAGAGAGAGGATGGGAGAGGGAGAGATAGGAACATCTATGAAGAAGAAATCATCCATTGCCTGCCTCCTACACGCCCCCTACTGGGGATCCAGCTGGCAATCCAGGCATGTGCCCTGACTGGTAATTGAACGGTGACCTCCTAGTTCCTGGGTCCACACTCAATCACTGAGCCCCTCAGTGGGGCTGGACTGACTTTTAAAATGGGATTGTTCATTCTGGAACAGCTAATGGTGGAACAGTATACCAAACACACCCCAACTCCAGGGCTTTACTATGTAAGGGGAGAGGAAGGTGTAGGGGGAAAGGGGAGGTGAGCCCCGGGCCCTGAGCTGCTGAGCCCAGCCTATAGGCCGACCCAGCTTACACCTGTCTGTCTCTGGCTGCTGATGCCCAAGCAGGGGGCCCTCCAGACAGTCCCTGGGTATGAAAGAGCGTGTGGCCCTAACCGGTTTGGCTCAGTGGATAGAGCATCAGCCTGTGGACTGAAAGGTCCCAGGTTCGATTCCGGTCAAGGGCATGTACCTTGGTTACGGGCACATCCCCTGTAGGAGTTGTGCAGGAGGCAGCTGATCGATGTTTCTCTCTCATCAATGATTCTAACTCTCTATCCCTCTCCCTTCCTCTCTGTAAAAAAAATCAATAAAATTTATTTTTAAAATTTTTTTAAAAAGCGTGTGCATGTGTGCACTGCTGGGCCTGGGATGTGTTACATGGGAAAGCCTGTCATCTCACAGCCCTGGCCAAGGGTGTCTCAGCTCATTTCTGTCCCGGAGGCAAGCACAGAGCAGGATCAAGTAAGGGAGGCCCGAGGGCAGAGCTGAATACGGGCAGAGTCTGTTTCCAGGTCAGGAAAAGCAAGGCGATGAGCAGAGGCCTTGGCACCCTGAGAATCAGCCACATGCACCTGGGCACGTCCCTTACCACTGAGCTGAGTTGTCTACAACCAACACGATGACAATAGCTGTAAACATCTGAATACGCTGCGCAGCACTGCGCTTAGTGAGCCTTTGTGGGCGGCAACTCATCTAACTCTCCCAACAACCCGGTGACGGAGGTTCTTGTACTCCCCGTGTTCCCTCTTGTGTTGTTGCAGGTGTTGACCTCGATCCATGCTCTGTATACTGTGAAGTGCGGCGCCAGCGACTCCCTCCTCACCCGTTTACCAGCACAGCCACCTCCCACTGGACTGGAGAAAGGGATGTTCCTCTTCACAAGAATGCTGCCCCTGGCGACAACTCGGGAGGAGCCAGAAATACATGGGAGCCCCAACTTCCATGGAAATTCCCGCTTTCTCCTCACCTGTGCAGGTGTCAGACACCAGTTCCCGCTCCTCCCGTGGGTCAGAGCCCATCTCCTGCTCCGGGTGGCCGCCTCTCTTGTCTGCGTCCTGCGAGTTGGAACCCGTTTCTCTCTCGTCTGGGTCCCCTTCCCTGTCCTCGGAGTTCTCAAAATCGGAGCCCATTCCTGTATCTTCCGAGTCTGGGCCTTCACACGCACCGTGTTTGTCTTCTTGCTCCATCCGGGAGGAGCCGGACAAGGGAGGTGACTGGGAATCCCTGCTCCAGACAAAACACACAGATAAAGGTCATGTCAGTCTGGCCCTGTTCCCTCAGCCTGTCCAGTGACACAGTCCAACAAAACATACAGAGTTCCAAGCCTCGATGGCAAATCTCCGCTCCACCTCACGTTTGAAGGTAAACAGATCCGGGCGCAAAGGAGGCTGGTCTGGGTGCCAGGGTTACAGTGGCAACTCCTCCGCAGGCCATAGGCCAGCTCTCGCCAGACCACAACTTGATCTGTTTCCGTCTGTGAAGTGGATGGGCCTGTTAGCATGGCCTTGTAGCTCTCACCGTGGGTAAGGGTGACAATGGTGCTCCCATCTTATAGCTGAGAAAACGATGCTCAGAAAGAAGACCCACCAGCCTAAGGCTAACATGTAAGCCGTAAAGTGGGGTTCAAATCACTTTTGCTGCCTCAAGTTCCATGCATTCCTTACTCTTATTAAAGCTTGCCCTCTTCTAAATATATACAATTTGTACTTATCACCTGTACCTCAATATGGCTGAGGGGGGGGGGGGATAGGAACCTGCCCCCTGCCATCACAGCAATCTTGTGAGGGTTTTAGCTAATGATGAGTGGACCTCCAAGGAGCCAGAGGAAAAGGACATTCAAGACGTAAGAATAGCCCTAGCCAGTTTGGCTCAGTGGATAGAGCTTCGGCCTACAGACTGAAGGGTCCCAGGTTCCATTCTGGTCAAGGGCACCTACCTCGGTTGCAGACTGGATCCCCAGCCTGGTCGGGGCCCGTGTGGGAGGCAACCAATTAATGTGTCTCTCTCACATCGATGTTTCTCTCTCTCTGTCCCTCCTCCTCCCTTCCACTCTCTCTAAAAATCAACGAGAAAATATCCTCTAGTGAGGATTGACCAAAAAAAAAAAAAGACAGAAGAATAACAGAAGCATTGGTATACTCACTTCTGACCTAAGATCATGTCTCCAGCAGCAGCACCAACCTGATTTTGTGGGTCTGTGGGGGGGGGCGGGGCAGGGGCGGGCGGGGGGAGGCAGGGGGAGAGATGCAGGGACCCTCCATGTTAGAAGCCCTCCCTGTAGCCTTATTACATAGTTTGCCTTATTATATGTGTACTTTATTGTAGAGAGCCCCTAGCAGAGCGTGCCCCCGGTGTAACCGGCAACCCCTCCACAGAACAGGCCAACATGGGAACTGGAGGGAGAAAATGACCTCAGCTTCCCAAACCTTTGGAGCCCTCAGGTTTGCATTTCAAATTTAAAGGGCCCCCTGCCAAGACTGAGCCATGGAGCCAAAAATAATTTGCTTCTGCCATCCATCACTCCTCCAGCTTAGCTCATGGCAGCAAAGCAGTTTGTAGGTCAAGGATCCTGGACCTAGACTTTTTTTAAAATATATTTTTATTGATTCCAGAGAGGAAGGGAGAGATAGAAATATCAATGATGAGAGAGAATCACTGATCGGCTGCCTCCTGCATGGCCCCTCTGGGGATCGAGCCCACAACCCAGGCATGTGCCCTTGACCGGAATCAAACCCGGGACCCTTCAGTCCACAGGCCGATGCTCTATCCCAGTGGTTCTCAACCTGTGGGTCGTGACCCCTTTGGGGGTCGAACAACTCTTTCACAGGGGTCGCCTAAGACCATCGGAAAACACATATAATATCAGATATTTACATTACGATTCATAACAGTAGCAAAATTACAGTTATGAAGTGACAACGAAAATAATTTTATGGTTGGGGGTCACCACAGCATGAGGAACTGTATTAAAGGGTCGCAGCATTAGGAAGGTTGAGAACCACTGCTCTATCCACTGAGCCAAACCAGCGAGGGCCTGGACCTAGACTTTTACACTGTCCAGCTCTCTCTGCCTCCGCAGCCCCCAAAACAGAACTCCCCAGAACATGGCTAAGCAGGTGCCCCATCTTTTCTTCCCTCCACTGAGCACTTCCCCAAGGCAGCCCTGGGACTACCGAGACTCAAAGTGGGAAGCAGGAGCCATTCTGGCTGGTCCAGCCTCGCTCCAGAGCCCAAGGCAAGTCAAGGAACCTCTCATGGTTCCAGTGTCTTCCTCAGCGCCAGGGGGATAATGCTCCTTAACCTTTCTCACAGGCAGGGTGTCAGAAGGAAACATTACAAAGCACCTTGGAAAATACTGTGAAGAGGAGCTGATGCTCCGAGTTTTACAACTGCGGAATAAACGTGTGATTTCTCTCTCTCTCTCTCTCTTTTTCATGTGCAATACACATATTATGGCTCTTTTTTTTAAGTCCTGATGCCATTCCATCACACCTCAAGGACACACCGGCCTGACTATCGCCCTGAAGGGGGTGTTACTAGTATATCCCTTCTCACAGATGCCCTATTCCAGTGATGGCGAACCTATGACACGTGTGTCAGAGGTGACACTCGAACTCATTTTTTTGGTTGATTTTTCTCTGTTAAATGGCATTTAAATATATAAAATAAATATCAAAAATATAAATCTTTGTCTTACTATGGTTGCAAATATCAAAATAATTTCTATATGTGACACGGCACCAGAGTTAAGTTAGGGTTTTTCAAAATGCTGACACGCTGAGCTCAAAAGGTTCGCCATCACTGCCCTATTCCCTACATCAGAGTGAAAAAGCAAGGCCTTCTCTTAAATGTCACAGGCAAATGGCCTGCCGTGATGGTCATCAACAGCGCCCTGGAAGGCAGCCAGCTCCTCTGGCTCCTCGGAGGCCCACCCGCTCCGTTTAAAACGCCAGGGTTCAAACACCCAGGATTAGGCTGCAGAAAATCCCATTAAAGTCATAAGCCTTTTAAGAGGTCTGTCGCACCAAGGGCTCTTACCGCTGAACCTCTGCTACCCATCACGCTCATGCCTCCTGGAGCAATACGCAGCCACATCCGTTGAGTATGCATACACAACACACCCCAGGGTGAGGGGTGGATTTCAAACATGTTTTAAGACCTGTTGGCTTGTTAGTGGCTAAAAGCAGCAGAGTGGTGGGGGGAAATTTTAGGGAGACCTAGTCAATGGTTTCTGCCCATCTAAGACCAGCAAGCCGAGTTTTACATCAGTAAAGGTATCACCTGCGCTCAGGCAACTGAAATGCAGGATGTGGTGCCCAGAATGGCACAGTGACCGCAGCTCTGTGGGGCCCAGGGGTCCACCCTGGGAACCAGGGAAGCTTACGGTTTCACTTCGAAGCCTGTTGGAAAAGGACAGAGCACCGTCTTAGAAAGCACCTCGGATACAGCAAAATCAGAACAAGAGGTTTTGGGGTTTTTTTAATCCTCACCCAAGGACATGTGTTTTCTTAATTGATTTGAGAGAGAAAAAATCACATCCACATGAGAGAAAAATGCCAATTGGTTGCCTCCTGTACACAACCCAACCAGGGATCGAACCCACAACCTAGATATGTGCCCTGACTGGGAATTGAACCCGAAACCTTTTTCTGTACGGGACAACGCTCCAGCCAACTGAGCCACCCAGCCAGGGCAGAACGAGAGGAGTTTCTGGTTTATGATTCCTTGGGAACCAAGAGAGAATTCATACCAGAGACACTAAATAAAGAAGCATGGTTTTCCTGAATTTAAAGAGGGAGTGGGGGGAGAGGAAGAGTGTAACCCCCGACTTAGGGCTGGCGTGTTCAAATTCTGTCTCACTCAGAATCCAGGAGACCTGACCTCCAAAGGGGGCTTGTCATGGCTTCCTTCACACCAGGGGAGGCAAGACTGGGTACGCTTTGAAAGAGGGGGAAGCCCTGTCACCAGAGAGACACCATTCACTGTACAACATCGACTCCAATTTATTTTAAAATGCATTGCATTAGCGCAAAACTGGAAGCCTGCGTGCCCACAACGCAGACTCAGTTCCACTCACGCCATTACGCCATCAGGTTCTAGGCAGTTATCAAGCAACAAGAAGGCTACTTAGAGGTAAGGAAAGGCAGCCTCGATATATTATTAGATGAAAACTGTTTGGTTTAAAAATAGTCCCGTTGTGTTTACTAGGACATGCACAGTAGCCTAGGTGTTCCCGTGTTTACACAGGTTCAGGGAGGATTCTTAAAATGCTACACGCCTCTTGGTCACCCCTAGGAGCTTCGTATCATTTCCTCTTAACGACACCCCCAAAGAAGCAGGGCATTAGTTTCCATTTCAGAGGTGAGGAACGAGGTGCAGAAGTTAAGGGCTGGCTCAAGGTCACGCAATCTTCAGTGGCAGAGGGGGTGCACAGCCCTGCCTGCGGTCCAGCTCCAGTGCCAACATTATTTCCCCAGAAGCTGGTGTGCGGGTTCAGGACAACTTTCTCTTTTTGTAAACCATGTCTGTTCTACACTAAAGATGTACTTTTATCAGCAAAAACACCAACTTTGCTTTTAACTTGAGAAAACACATGAAAGGAAAACCTACGATTATTCTAGAAGCAACGAAAAGGAAGACAAGGACGAGTTGTGATTAGCTCTATCTGGAAGACAGTTCTCAGAAACGTTACCGAGACACTGTGTCAGTCAACAGATAGCTAAGCACATTTTGTTCCAACTCCCCTCCCATTCATTCTCAAAATAAAAACTAGCAGCATGTTTTCTCAAGCAAGGCCAGGGTTGGATAACGAGTGGCTGTCCTCTGCTCCACCAGCTGCTTTACCTTGTGCGAGTTTCTTAGCCTCGCTGACCCTCAGATTCTGCATCCATAACCAGTATGCTGCCTCCTACCATCTAAGATTGTTAGATGAAAAGCAGCTGGCACATAGTAGGGACACAATAACTGGTAGTTATGAAACTTAAGCCAACCTCTTTTTAAAAAAAAAATCTTTCTAATTTATTCAGAGAGGAAGGGAGAGGGAGAGAGAGAGATAGAAACATCAATGATGAGAGAGAATAGATCGGCTGCCTCCTGCATGCCCCACACTGGGGATGGAGCCCACAACCCATGCATGTGCCCTGACCGGGAATTGAACCGTGACCTGGTTCATAGGTCGACACTCAACTACTGAGCCATACCAGCTGGGCTTAAGCCAACTTCTTGATTTAAAAAATTACACACACATCTCCAAAACTGAGGGTCACAGCTATATTCACCATGAATGGCCTTTGGCCAGTACAAGCAGAGTCTCCTCTGGCCTGGCTGCTAAAGGCTCTATGAATGAATGGCCCACCTTGTGGAGACAAGAGCCAGGGGTTGGGGGGCCTAGCTCCTTGGGGAACTGGGGAGAAAGAAGAAAGGTCAGTGCCATACGGTTTGGAGACGTTGATAACCCGTCTGTATACAGAAAAGATAAGTCTACAGCTGAATGGAGTGGATAGTTCAACAAGCCCTGACTTCCACCATCTGTTTGGGAGCTCTCCTCCCTCCAGTAAGAAGGGGCAGAAATGTGAGGGGGAAACAAATAACGTAATGGTGGGAGCAGTCAGGCAGATAAGAGGAATCGTGCAGGGGACGAGCCCTGGGCTTTGGCCGCTCAGAGACTGTGCTGTGTGGCTTTGAGTGTCTGTCCCTCTGGGTGTTCCATGAGGAGGCTGGGTGTGCAGGCACCTGAGTCCTCTTCTACTCTGTCCTGTGACGTCAGGTCAGTTACGCAGGGAGGCAGCACTGTCAGTCTCCTTAGGCACTTCCAGTGGCAGCAGCTGGCTTCCGCAACCGGCACGGCAAGCGGTTAA